ATTAAATGATGAAATTGACAGGCCATTGTTGGCTACTCGTATATATTTAATTCTGCTGTGTGCTTCATTCTTTATTGTTCTAACATACACCGGTCTTAGTCAACAAACACTTTCATATACACTCAATTCACCATCCGAAGCAGCATTCGAAACGTTTTATCATCAATATAGAACTCAAGATCTGTCGTGCCCTTGTAGTCGAATCTCGATACAATACGGTAGTTTTCTGTCTGTATCAACAGTTTATCATCAAATATGTTCAAGCGGTTTCATTGCATCTGACTGGTGGGCTTTAGTGGCAGCCACGGGTAATACATACACATTGAAAGATCAGCCAGTGCTCAGTATCTATTTTCGAATGATTGCTTCATTTTGCATGCTAGCCAATCAAACGGTGACGAATGCCGCGCAAACATTCATGTCAGATGCATTAGTGAGCATCGAAACATTAACACCAAAATCGTTAGAAGGTCAAGTTGCATTAGCACTAAATATATTGATTCAACAAACACCTGTGACATTTCATCATACACTGAAATTTATCAGAGATGCACTTCGTTCGAATCAATTGCAAAATATGTTTATGACAACCTGGGAAATTGCATTTACGACAGCTGCAGAAAGTTATATTGTAGCAACAATTCCTCGCTCGTACAATAATAATACATGTTCATGTGCAGCATTATTTTCACCTTCATGTTGGAGACCACTCGACTTTGTTTTAAACAACGGAATAATAACAATACCAGATTTTGTTGGTGGTTGTTTGCCTGTGGACGGATTGCGTCAGTCAACACTGGAATGTCTCTTCGATTCAGCCTGTTTGTTTATGCTCAGTACATTGCTGAACAGTTCAATGGTTCCACCTTCGCTCAATGCATCGATTGTTACTCAATTACCGTATTTAACAACAACCATCGGCTCGATTATCGATGAATTATTCGTCGAAGAGTGGATCAACACAAGCAATTTTTCCGCCTATTATCAAGAATGTTCTCCCCGTTTATGCCGTGTGACACTTAACGAAAACAATAACGTTATCTATATGATTACAACATTGTTAGGCTTCTATAGTGGTCTCACACTTTGCCTTCGATTTATCATTTTACGCAGTTTTTTGGCGTTCAAAACAGTACGATATTTCAGACAGAAACGGCGTGAGAACAAAACAAATGTCGCTTTCCGTAACAAAACTGATCAAAGTACTGAAATCTGAGAAAGCATTCTTAAGAAAACGAACAACTAATCAAAGTAATTGGCGATCAATAAACAAGAAATCTCTCAATAATTCGCCTCTGCCGATTTGAGATATTTGCGCTTCTTGCTCATCTGTTTCTCTGAATAGTCTTTGTTGAAGGATGGGATGTGGATATAAGTGTGACCCTGCGTTTTATGTGAAAGTGTGCATGTGTGTGAAGAAAAGAACTACATACCAACGTCCACAGCGATACGGGACATTCTTTGCTCACATCTCAAAGCCATTTCTTTAGAACTTTCTCGGCGAACATCGTAAAAGACGGCTTTGATTCATTGGATTTTGTCATTGAAAACATTACTGTCCTTAATTTTTTCCTATTACGGCGGCACACTGTATTTGTTCTATATAATAAAGTGTTAAGAGGCCAGCTGTGTCGGAAACACATTGTCCGAGTTCTTCAATATTGTGTAATATAGAAATATTGCGCCATTTCTTTCTTTTTTGTTCCTTTTTATGGATTTTAGCGAGAACACTAAAAGAAGTTCCTTCTATTGCTCCTAAAATTAGTTCCGCTAAAACAATGATAAATATATGAATGTGAAGATGATTGATACTGTTGAGTAGTGCACATTAGCAACAGTAGAATAGCTTAGTTTCTCGAGATCACGCACTATGAATTATAAGTGAGAGTTTATGATAGAATCAAACTATGATGCTGAAAATGATCGTATGTGTTTTCCTTTGCAACGATACTACTTTTTTAAGCATGCATAAGTCTCGAAAATGAACAACTGTTAGTGCAATCCCTACGAGATTCAAATGTAAAACATGATGCAGTTGCTCCTTCGAACAATGTGAAGACCGTGTTATTCTATCTATTTTGTAGCATATTGCTAAACCATTCTTTTACTTATTTCCTGAGAACTAGAGCCAGTAAGTACAGGGTGTTCCAAAAGTCCGGGCCAAAAAGAAACGTGAATATTTCTTAACGAGTTCAAGTGATTTACCCAAGCTTTTTATAGTTTCGCTCCATATTTATTAAAGTTTTATTTCATATAAATTTGATTACAATAATTGTTCAAAATGATCACCGTCAACTGAAATACATAAATGCATTCGTTTTACAATATTAGAAAAAACATTAGATAAAGTTTCTTTCGAAATCTTTTTTATCTCATCACATATTTTCATCGTCGATTCCTCGAGATCTTGAATAAGCGACTTGTAAATATTGTTCTTTACATGACCCCACAAAAAGAAGTCCAATGGAGACAGGTCGGGTGATCGTGATGCCCATCGAATTGGACCACCTCTTCCAATCCATCTGTTCGGAAAAGTGTTGTCCAAAAATTGACGTACCTCTTGAGTAAAATGAGGAGGAGTTCCATCTTGTTAAAATAATATAGAATTTACTTTACGTAATCTTCTTATTTCTGGAATAAAGAAGTCTTGAAGCATGGTAAGATATTTTTGTCCATTAACGGTGTTACCATCGAAAAAGAAAGGTCCAATCAATTTATCTTCTGACATTGAATACCAGACATTTAATTTTTGGAGATTGCATAACAGTTTCAATTGTTGCATGAGGATTTTCTTCACTCCAGTATCTAATATTATGTTTATCAACGAAACCATGCAAATGAAAAGTAGCTTCATCTGAGAAAAAGACGTTCTTTTTGTTCTTGTGGTCTGTTAACAGGGGCAGTAAAATGTTACACATTTCAGCACGATCTTGACAATCTTCTTCATAAAGTTGTTGAACAAATTGTACCGTATATGGCTTTAATAAAAGATGTTCTGTCATAATTGTATAAGTTGTTGTTTGTGGTATTGAATAAGGGTGTGGGTGTGGGTGGGTGTAGGTGTGGGTGGGTGTGGGTGTAGGTGTGGGGGTGGGGGTGTGTGTGGGTGTGGGGTGTGGGGGGTGTGGATGCGGGGGGTGTGGGGGTGAAGACAAGAGTGAGACGGAGGTCCATGCCCACCGCGCCGACACACACG